GCCGGCCGGGACAGGACACGTCTGCCAGGGCCGCGGGGGCTCCGGACACGTCTGCCAGGGCCGGCGCTCGGGGGCTCCCGGGGGAGCGCAGGGCAGGCCGAGGGGATGAGGCCGGTGTGCTCAGGGCAGGGTGAGCACAGGCCGGCTGCGCGGCTCCTGCTGGGGAGGTTCACGTAAGTGGTTCTCCAGGGACTGTGAGGAGCGAGGATGAAGCTTTTTGACGTGCGTGGTTTGTGTAACGGCCCTTTCATGTACTGCCCTTGATAGAGGCAGCAGATGGACATTGTCATCTTATTTCCCCCTCTCTGGCTCAGTTTTTTGGTGAGCATTAACTAGCTCAAGAAACTCTTATCTGACCCTGTGATGAAGAGAGCAGTAGCTTAGAAATTAAGCGGGTAACTGATGGATTAATTTATCTGCTTTTTAGTGCTATTCTGCGCCAGCTAATGTTGTTGCTACTGTCTGCAGCCCAGGTCTTCTACGTGAGGCCTGTCCGAGCAGGTGACAAGCGGTGGAATAGGCTTGTGCCCTGAACACGCGTGTTTCTGTGCTTTCTGTCTTCCTCTTGAGCCTTCTGCGGTTCTGCCCCTGAGCGGCCGAGCTTTGCTTCTGGAAGCGGTCGTACCGAAGTCGGTATTTGCCTGCTGTGGGTTCCGTAGTACCTAAGTTAAGGCTTCTGCCCATCTGCTGCGGCAGTAGATACGGCTGTGTAAACGGGCTGGGAGAGACCTGAGGGGAATTGCTTCCGATTGTGCTTTCTCATCCGTTCCAGGATGGGAGACGAGGGGGAGAAGGGGCAGCAAAATGCCCCGTACAGCCAGATCCCCAAGTTCCGATTGTGCTTTCTCATCCGTTCCAGGATGGGAGATGAGGGGGAGAAGGGGCAGCATCCCCAAGAGGCTCCGGTAACTTGGAGCCGTCTGTCAGACTGACGTGGGAGGAGGCTAACCCTTGCTAACTTTAATGTTCCCTGTGCGTTTTCTCAGCGGCAGTGCTGCCGTAACCAGTTTCCCCATTCTCACTGGTCGTGCTGGGTGGCCTTTGGAATTACTTTTTTGGCTGGTTTTGTTGCCTCATCTAATTTGAAGCATGGCCCTGCAAGTGTTGCGCTGGCGTCGCCGAAGGGGCAGCGTCCCACTCTGTGAGGGTTGGCAGCGTGCAGCAGGGAGGGGAAACGCTATCGAATACAAACTGTATCAGCTATATAAAGTCTAGGCTCATAAAGCTGAGCCAAGCGTTTTGGTGCCTTGCAGAGTGACCTCTGCTGCCTTGGGCTCTCTGGGAAGCTCCTGATAAGAGTTGGGCATCTGAATGAGACTCAAAACCAGCCTTTTCTCTTAAAACCAGTGCAGAGTCACCACTTTCTTTTTAAATGCAACTGGAGAGGCATACGAGCAAGGCATTCGCTTGTCTCGGGAACACTGGAGGCTGCACCGATTCCCTGCCAAGCCTGGTGGTTTCAAATCCACGTCTCCCAGATCCCTGCGGGGTGCCCTTGCTTTTAGGCCATTTACTCTTCTGAAATGTCTGGGGTCTGCTGGCTTGCAGCGTGAAGTGACTTCCGAAAGCCTGGTCTCTGGTGATAGCCCTCACCAGAGGGGTAAGCTTGAACCACTTTCAGGAGATGAGCGTTGTGCCCAGGTCTTCTCATTCCACTTGTGCTCTAATCATTAAATCATTGTCTTACGAGGGAGTGTTGGCAAGTTCTTCTGCCGTTGCTGTTATGTACGGATCCTGCCCCTCGATTTGCTTTTGGCAAAGTGCTCTAGATTAAACCCTTGAGTACAGATCTGCGTAGAAGCTCTTAGCCTCGCTACAGTCATCGTATCGGAATGAAAATATAAAAGCAGTACAGAAAATATCCTAAAGCAAGACTTCAGAAGCATGGTGAATTTTGCTGGCTGGAAAGGTTACGATGTCAGGCTCTGCTGGGTTTGGCTGGGACATCTGCGGATGGCACGAGAGGAGCCGGTGTCCTGTGAATCTGGTCTTAGGGGACTTGCCCCAGGTCACCAGGTGGGTTTATGGCAAAGCAGGAATGAGTTCAGCTCTCCCACCTCCCTGTCAGCACTCCTCTTTTGGCCTGTCCTTTATTATTTCCCCTACCGCCCTTCTCTCTTTTTTTGGAGAAAGGAGTAGAGAGAAAGAACTGAAACTTTTAAAATTATTTACTGTAATACAGGCAGAATAAACAAGGGGACTAAACAGTAACATACATACAGTCATACAGTGTGCCTCAAGCAGATCGCCGCAGGTATTCCTTCACAAAATTTTCCCTAATCTGAGACGGTGAAACGTGTTTCACACTAAAGTCACATTCAAAGTAATCGTGGTGGTGTCCGCCTGGAAAAACAGTGCTGCTTGCATACGTGTCTTGGTTTAAAAGGAAAATGCTGTCTCTTAAAATGGCACAGGGCATTTTTGTCTTTGAAACACTGGTGAAGAAAAGCCCCGGCTGTCTCCAGTGGGCTCTTGTGAGTTACGTGCGTTGGACTGTAAACTTTGGAGTTATTCATTGACCGCGGATGAGCACAGTGGAAAAAGGAAGTTCACTTCACACTGTGGTTTCCTTCGCGTGTGCGGTTTTTTTTTCCTCCCTCCACAAATAGTGGATTATATATGAAGAAATCTCTGCAGTGGAGTGCAGGATGTTGGGTTTTGTCTATTCCCAATTAAACTGAAAATGTTCCGGTGAATAGAGAGCTTATTTATATGTGGTGTTATCTTGCACAAATTCACACGTGGTTGGACGATACCCGTTCATGTACCTGTTTTATCTGTTTTTGCTGCGAATCTATTTCTTTGTGCCAGGATCTCGCAACTGGAGCTAGACGTGAGGAAGTTTAGGCTGCACAGTGAAATTTTCCCCCTAAAGCAGCTTTAGTCACTGGCCATCCGAGCTGAGCAACGTCATCACTTGTTAGACACAAGATTTTTCCCTGACTGTACATCTGAGGCCTGTTATCTCAAGATAACATATCCCAAGTTAAGCGGTGAGCTGGGGAGGTATGAAAACAGCGAATCCTGTGCAAGTGTATCTCGGAGCACTGAACAAAAATATCATTGGGTTGGATCCTGGAGTCTGAGTTCGTGCCCACGAAAGGTTTGAGCTTGCTGCCGTAGGTGTCCGTGGGGGAAAGCTCCCTTTCCTTTCGGTGGGAGCTGGGCCGGAGTCTCGGTGCAGCTGAGCCAGTGGAAGGTCAACGCATTTCAGGAACTGATTATTCAGTGTAAAACTTGGTCATATGCGCTTGTCCTTGCAGAAAGAAATATTCTTAATGCCGCTTTGCGGTTCCAAAACACGTCTTTCTGTAGGGAAATTACAGTTGTTGTCCCAGGAACTTCTGTGAGATTACTCATAAAAGCAAAGGTTGCTGAAGAGAGGACTATTCAGTCGTAGCTTCTTTACATGATAATGTACCCCGCCTTCAAAGCATTAAACTGTGGCTGAGATTTATTAGGAAATGAGCAGGTAAATGAGAATAACTGGGTAAGGTGAGGAGGGAGCGGATCACCAGAATGCTGCTTTCTCTGGTTTTTTATTTATTTATTTGAGTTAAAGCCACTCAACAGCACCACGTTTGTCTCCTTGACAAGGGAGGGCACAGGAGAACTACTGTTTGGCCACGATGGCCCCGTCAAGCCAGGAATGTGTCCCTCAGTCTTTCCTTCTGGTCCCTTTTCCAGTGGACAGACTGACGCCTCCCACCACTCTGCAGCTGTAAGACACTGGCACTGAAGTACATGAACTAAATAATCCCCTTCTGAAGAAGGACCTTGCTCGTTTGCTCATCTTTCGGTGAAGGATTCTTTTCTCTTTGTGCGTTAGCGTAACTGGTGTTCCTGTGTCGTTTGCTCTTCCCCCAAAATTTACAGATCTCAGCTGGGAGCAGCTGCAAATGGGTGGGGTGAAGTTTTAACTGTATTCTTAACTGTCTTCACACTTTATTTTCTATTCCGCATTTAAAAAAGGCAAAGCAAAATGCTTCCATTTCTAAATCATAAGTTATGAAACTCTGGTCAGACACTGGGTAATGTCTGTATTGTGGGAAAGCCCGGAGGCTTCAGCTGCGACGGGGCCCCTTGTGCGAGCCGTTAACCAGGGAGTCCCAGCCCTGAGCAGCTCTCGACTGACATAGCTTTCCTGTCCACACTCTGTTGCTTTCTTTAGACTGGTACAAGCAAAATAATACGTTCTCCTCAATGTAGACATAGTTAGGCTTGTATATAACTGCATCTCTATGTACAGGAGGAATAAGCTGCCTGTACAGGTCCCGCTTCTTAGCAGAGTGCCGTTGTCTCCACCAAGGACTGTGCTAGAGTAGCTCAATTAAAAAGGAAAGTGAATGCAACCCCAACAAAATAATTGCGCCAGTGTAAACTCTGCAACCTCCAGACCATACACGGGGCACGCAGGAGGACAGCACAGGGGTGCAGAAAAGGGAAATGAGCTGCTTAAATCCCGAGGGCTTTGGCTACAACGCAGCTATTCTGACCTCGGTGCTGCAGTTGCTGTCGGTGCCGGCAGCAGCCTGTGGTGTTTGTTGTGTTTTTGTAGGGGCAGTTTTTAGTTTAGACTTCCTTCATTCTTGATGACTCTTGTCAGACCCCGCAGTGCTGCTTTAGAGGGTTGTTTTGTGGTATTCTGTGTTTCCATTCTAGGATTTGCAGGTAGGGGCACACGGTGTTTTTATCCTTAAAGAAGAAGGGGCAGAATCAAAGCTCAGCACAGACCTCTCTGCGGCTTTCATCTGTGTGATCAGTTCTGCCAAAATCAGCAACACGGCTGACACGGAGTCAACTTTGCAGGATTTGATTCTTCCAGAGTTACGGTCACGTTCAATGGCGGTAACAGGAAGAACGAATCTGCGTTTTAAGAAGGGTTGTGCAGAATTATTAAAATAACGAGGGATGTTGGGTTTTGTGTACCAGCTGATTTTTTTTTTTTTTTTAACAGCAGTTTACTTCCCAGCTAACAGTGATTATCTGTTTGTTTCAGCAGCTGGGAAGGTCCACAGCGAGCCAGGAGCTCAACACCTAAATGAGGCATTAAGTCTGGTGAGCTTGTACAAATTTCTCTTCTGCCGTATGTGCTTTGCTGGGTCCCAACCAGAGCTGTCTGTCTCAGCCCGTTGTCTGGCTGCGGCTGGGAGGTGCACACGTTCTGGCAGCGGCTCTCCGTGCATCCTCAGCCTTTGCCAGGTACCGCTAAGAGCACATTCGTTTGCTGCTGAATAATACAAGCCTTAAAAGTGGTTGACAGTGGGGTTGTGCTGAATGAGATATTACCACATCTCATGTGGAGCTTCGTATGTACGAGGAGAAATTGTGATCCTTTCTGTAAGGTTCCAGCGTGCCTGCTTTGGGCACTTGGAGACGAGTAGTTCATAGTGGGAACCCCGGGCTCGCAGTCTGTCCCACACCGTACCGGAGATACTCCCGATTCCAGGAGATTCTTTGGGTGCTGGTTAGTGACGTGTGCTGACCTGATTTTCTTTCTCCAGTAGATCTGTTGCTATCTGTCTGAAACTTCACCAGGGAACACTCGTAATAGAAATGGCAGGTAAGAGCACCTCAAAATACGGCAATGTAGGGAGAAGAATGGTTGCAGAGAATGTTTTTCAGTATGCTGTGATGGCTGTAATGCATCAGGTATGCGACGTGCGTCCCTTCCTGAGATCTTAATGATCCCTAAAGCTCTTCAGCTACTTCTCTTTTCTTGCCTTGGTCACATTCACTTTTACGCTGCATCCACTGTAGATTTGTCAGCTGAGGTTACTGTTCTAGCAACAAAGGCTCAGGTGTGACTTGTTCGAAAGTTTTATGAGGATGGAATTTATTCACAAAAAAGTACATGAGAATAATTTCTTCCTTACAGAGGCTAAACAGCTTTCCACAGCGTTCCTAGCTGTACTATTGATATTAATACGTCTTAATTTTACTTGTAGTGAAATTAGTAACAAAATTCCTCCCAACTTTTTTAAGATAAGAGAAAGTCCGGGACTTGCATACAGCTGCTGTTCATTGGTAATACAGTTTGGTTTTTGAAAGCACGGGTTGTGCTTGCTGACCTAATGTGTTGATCCTAGCCTTGATGGAGTGCTGTAGCACTCCAAGCTATGCAGTCAGACATGAAAGGGGGTATTTTCATTTGATTTCTTTTGTCTGTTCTTGGAAGTAACCCGGAACAGTTGAAAACTGCAGGGTCTCTGGGTGGGAAAAAGTGGTCATCTGGCTGCTTGCAGCTGGGCAGCAACAGAGGAGAGGTGTAATCCCGATCTTTGTGTACCCAGCGCACAGTTGCGGAAGTACTTGGAGCATTTTGTGAGCTTGAAAAATGACAGACTGCAGTGGCTGGTGCCCAGCAGGCCAGTTGGTTTTGGCCCCATCATTTGGGACTTCTGCACTAGAGGCTGGCAGCAGCTCTATTGCCCGTGACAGATCTGTACTGTAAGAGAGAGAAAATGGAAGAGAGCAGAACCAAAGTAACTAGCTGCAGCTTCGGCTGTTGAAGAGGGACAGAACAAAATTTTCCTTATCCCTCAAAAAAAAAAAGATTGTTAGAGAACCTGCTTTTACTGTGGTTGGTTAATCTTGGTCTCATTGACTTCTCTAGAGAGCTGTCTCTTTAGCTTTAAAAGCTTTGCCCCCTTCCTCTCCTTTGATCCAGTGTTGTTATGTCCTTTTGTAGGCTGCTGAGACGGACTATCCAGGAGAAAGCCCATTAGGGGTTTATAGCAAACAAAAAAATTAGTGCTAAGAAGTCCAAATTCCTATAGACCTTGAAAGCAGCCGTGGGACATCAGCACTACATGTGATGGGGTCAGCAGTGTTAACCAGTAACTAATACCAGCTTTAGAGGGCATCTGGATTAACGTAAAATGCATTTAGAGGAGATGGGTGAGGAGGGGTGGAAGACAATGTTTGTTTTTATAATGAAAAGTCTGCTGAAAAGTCAAGTTGGGCTGGTGACTTCAGACATGAGTCCATATTTAATTCTGAGGTACTCACAGTGGGCGTTATCCTCACCATATTTTCTGCGTGAAAATATGCCTTTCCTTTGCGTGAAGTAAAGCCTTTTCTTTCCTAAAGCATGGCTTACAGCTTTAGACTCTTCCCTGCCAACCTTCAAATGAAGCTAAGAAGCTGCTCCTGCAAAATGTCTTCTCACACAGAGATAATGGCAAGAGGAGGGGAACTCTTGTGCTGACAGTTCTTGTTCAGACATTTCCTCTCGTCTTCTGTGCCATTTGGAGGTTTTCCCAGGACATTCTTCATCTCTTCCTCTGGTTGTTTTTAATTCTGTTTACTGGGGCTGAAGTGGACTAGAGACAATTAGTCACAATGCCCTGGAATCAAACTTTAATCAGCACTGGAAGGCAAGAGCAGACATTCCCAAACATGTAGAAACGCACATCCAGGCACACGCATATACACAGACAAATCTGCGCGTCTGTTTAGAAGCTGACAGCGGCTGAAATGCAGAGGATTTAGGCATTTAATTACTTGATTTTAAAACATAGTTTCTTCTCAATGTAAGGTTTTCTTCACCATATCGCTTTTGTCAGCATTTGCTGATTTATTGTATCTGAATGCAAAGCTTTTTTTTTTTTTGCCTTTTTTTTTTTTTGCTGGGGCTTAACCTTACAGGAAAAACTTGACTTTTCAAGAAAAAAGGGTACCTTCGTGAGTCTTGTCACAACAAAATCATCCCTGACACCTGACTTGCCTTCTCTGAACTGGATGATATCCGAGTACTAAATTCCAGTTTGAGAGATGCTTTCCAAAGGCACCCTTCCTTACTGTCACAGGGACAGTACTACTGTCACACTACTACAGGTCCTAAGGCCTGATCAAAAGGCACCCTTCCTTACTGTCACAGGGACGTATCTACTACAGGTCCTAAGGCCTGATCCATGCGCCAGCAAGCCCACCTACTCAGAGCTCGTGTCTGAAGGTAAATCTGCTTGTCTGGACAATCGCCAGCCTTTCCTCTTGCTTTGGTTTTCTCGGAGGTTGTAACTAAAAACCTCTGTGCAGCCTGTTCCCCCCAGATGTTGCTGGCCTCTCCCCCCTTCCTGGGCAACCTCGTCCTGGAGCTTATTTTAAGGGTTTTTTTTGTCTTGCGGCGCCTTTTGCACAACTTTACACTGATGTGTAAAGGTATCAAATCCACGTGTCGCTTATTAGCTCATTTCTATTCCTCGCTCTAAGCCTGGCATGTGCTAGTTTAAATATCGTGTCCACTGCTGAGGAAGGAGAACAAGATGTTTGGTGTCTGGGGTGGGGATGAACGCACTGCAGTGAGTAACGTGAATGGCCAGAGCTGGCGATGGTTTTCTCTTTTGATTCTTGTGAGTCCCCTCGACCTAGGGCTCCACGGGTGCGTATTGGGAAGGTGTGGAGGATATTGCACTTGTTCAGCCGTATGAGAATGTTTCTGCATTCAGCTAATATCTGTGTTCTGCATTGTAGAAAAGGTGAATAACTTCCCACCGCTCCCCAAGTTTATCCCTCTGAAACCGTGTTTCTACCAGAATTTTGCTGATGAAATTCCCATCGATTATCAGTCTCTGGTGAAGAGAATCTACCACGTATGGATCTGTAAGTTGAATAAGAAACCTGTGCTGGGAAAACGTATGTGTGTAGTGAAAAAACATAGGTCTCAATTACTTACACACTTTAAAGTTTTGACTGCAATTAGTTGATGAGAAACGATGATTCATCTTAGAATACTGTAATGTAACTTTATGTCCAAATTTTAAGCTGCTGTGCCTTGAATCTTTGCCGCAGAGCTGCTGTTGAAGAAAGGAGAGAGTATCAGTGCTAGAAAAGTCTATTAGTAAATTTGAGGAGAAAAAAAGCAGACCGCACTTGATACCTTTATTAATGTCAAGTGATGTTTTACTCCCCAAAATAGCCCTCTTAAAGTAATTCCCAATTCACCTAAACTAAGATGAATAGGAGAATTTTAGGCAAGAAAATAAATGTGGCTCATTTGCTTGCTACCTGTCTCCCCACTTCGCTATAGGAAGGCTAAAATTCCCCCTTGTTTGTGCCCAGCCACAGATTTCCCTTCCCAGCTGAAGCAGTGTCTTCTAGCCGTACGCCGTCTCTTCCTTAGCTATCCATAGCCCGCAAAACGTTCCCCATCCTGCTGGAGGAGGGTGCTGATCCTCTTGGTCACAGCTGGTGATTTGCTGATATTCTGTATGAACAGACCTCCTGGCTCTGGGCTTGTGCTGCCTGGCTTAGCCATTCAAAAGCCAGTAATGAAAATCGACCATTCTTCTCCAAGGAATGAAATCGGATGAAAAATGGTGTGGCAGGCCTAGAGAACCACAGGGAATGCTTTGGAAGATTAAAAATCTTTTTGCCTTGCTTATCTTTTTTCCCCCAAATGCTTGTCATCCTATTTACCCTTCTCACTGAAGGAAAGCTTGTTTTCTGCCAGATATGCATTTGGTGGCATGGCTTTTATTCCAGATGCATGGGATGTGTGTATGAGAGAGATTTGTGTGCATAAATAATAGCATAATCTATCACTCCATTGTCCTTTCGTTATTTAGAGATGCTGAAATGAGCTCTGTAATTTTCTTGCCTGAAGAAACTGCTTGTCCCTTCAGACTAGCTGGTTAAACGTCGCATGCTGTAAAGCTGCCTTTGTCTGCGACTCTTCCGAAACAAAGCGCCCCTCATTCAAGTTAATGGCAGGCTGGAAAGGTGCCAGCCGTTTGGGCAACTCCTCTAGGCCTGGCCGAGGAGGCCCGACATTTTCACCAGGAGTTTTAAACTTCCATCTGCAGTGCACTTTTCTTCTGGGGTCTCCCCGACTTTTTGGGATGGGATGGAGAGAGACACACGCATGGAGGGAAGGCGGTAAACAAGAAAAGGCCGGTGTTAAAAATAGATACACAAAAGTCGTTGTTAGAAGGTTGAATGCTCATGACTTTAATTGGATGTGAACGTTTTCTTAAGGTGGATGGTGATTTGAGGAAACCTGTACCAGAGCTCCCACTACTGGAGAGCAAACTCCTACCTGATGTGCAGGGAGAACCAGAAGTTCCTTAAAACTCTATCGGTGCTCTTGGCGAGCAAACTCCTACCTGATGAGAACCAGGAACCAGAAGTTCCTTAAAACTCTATCGGTGCTCTTGGCTTGCTGGTTTTTTTTTTTTTTCTCTATCGGTGCTCTTGGCTTGCTGGTTTTGGTTGTTTTTTTTTTTTTATTAAGTAACTTTTGGAGAATAAATGACTTCTGAAAATAAACATTTGGGCAAGTACAGCTAATGACCGTATAAATGAAATTTAAATAATGAAAATTCTTTCTTCCCCCCCAATATTAAGATACATCCAAACCATTGCGTATAAAGCCTTGTTGTTAGCTACGCAGAAGAAATTTTCTTTGTAGTAAAACAATGTTTTATTTTAACTCTCATGTAATTTGTATGTCAGAAGCGGCAGCTGGGTTCGGATGCTTTCCATGCTAGATTCTCCCAGCTGTGTTGTCAGTAGTATTTTATGACCACAAAACTTTTGTAGTTGTTTAGCAGCCCCCGGGCTGCATGAAGGCAGGTGGTTCTGTGCCAAGAGGAGGAAAGAGAAGAGTCAGAAGGAGAGGCCAGCCTGGCGTCGGGCATCAGAGGACCAAGCCAGTGATGTGCAGGCATGCTGCAGAGCCACGGCATGTAGTGAAGAAAGGAATGGGCAGGGCATGTTCACTTACACGGGTGAAGAGAAATTCAGGGGTTTAATTTTGACTGAATAAATGAGGCCAGGGTCCAAAGTGTTACTGTGAGCTCATCACCAGGCGGTACTGAAGGGTCTTTTGTGTTTGGACCCTCTGCCTTCTCATTTCTCTTTATCTGTGCTAATTGATACAGGTTACCGCTGAGTTTTTTTAAGATTTACCACCTGTTTTCCAAAATAGGAGCTTGTAATTGGGCTAAGCCTCTTCGAGACTGGCAGAGCCTGGGGGGATGCAAGGACAGCTGCAGGGAGTCCCTGGAGTATTGAGGGGAGCGCGTGGAGGGAAGCGGGGAGCCCCTGGCATGGGGACTGAGCTCAGCCTGCGAAAGCTAGGAAGTGTGCAGCCCCCCTTTGCGGTGATGTTGAGCTTCAGGGAAAGGGGGGAGCAGCGTCACTTCATGCACGTCTACTTAGCGCAGCACTGGTGCGCTCTGGGGGCCGTTGTCAACTGTTCCTTTTTATCCAAGTGGCAGGAACAGGGATGCGAAAAGGCCTTTAAGCCACCCCTGTGGTCCCATGTTCTCAGCTTAATTGGAGTTTGCTTATCCCGTCACTCAAGGCAGCACTTACAAGCCCTGAAGCTAACTTCCAGGCTTCCTCGGAGGCCCAGGGAAGCAAAGAGAGAGAGAGAGAGCCTGCAAGGCGCTGTGCTGGCTCTGTAATAGCTCCTGAGGCAGCCTCAGCAAGCACGGAGACCAAAGTCGTATCGAGGCTGGGTGCAGGGCAGTGTTTTACAGCCCTCTCCTCATGAAGGGGTTTTGCTACAAATGGGAATTGAACCTTGCTTGTGATTCATCATAATACTGGCCTGAGTCTTGCATTGGTCACACCAGTTGCTACCCAGCTCTCCCTCCTTTGGCAGGTCCCAAAAGAGTTTCCTCGTCCCTCTGCTGCAGCGCTCCCTCTGGAGATGGATGTGTCTGTCCTGCCGGCTCCTGGGGTCACGCAGGAACCTGCGACTCGCTTGGGGCGGCTGCATCATTGGGCTTGAGTCTCCCAGTGCAGCGCGGACCCTTCCTGTTATAATACCGGGTGTTTGTTTCCTTTTTGCATGAAGACGTGAAACTGCACAGCCTCATGTTCTTTCCTCTGCCCTCTTTACAGTTTATTGCGCCACACTAGTAGTGAATATAATTGCATGCCTGGCGTGGTGGATCGGAGGAGGCTATGGGGTCAATTTTGGTTTGGCCATCCTCTGGCTTATCCTCTTCAGTCCCTGCGGCTACGTCTGCTGGTTCCGACCTGCGTACAAAGCCTTTCGGTAAGTAGAAGCCCATGAGGCGGTTTTGTTTCCGTTTCCTCTGGGAGAGAGATGTGTTGTTACTGGGGAGTGCTCCTATGGAGATCTCTTTGTCTGGGATAAAGACCAAGGACTTGATGTCTGAATGTCTTGTTTACTTTGGAAATAGAGAAGAATGTGGCTACTTATAAATACTAGAGGTAGGACTGAGGGTCACCCGCCTAGGATTGGAGGTGAGCAGCAGCGAGTAGTTTGCCACTTCCATGAGGATGAAATTCATATTTTACTTAAATATCTCAAGCTTAGCAGCACCCTCATATCAGTATAGCATTTAGATAGATAGTAATTTGGTAAAGCTTCATTGAGGCTTATTTTGATGGAAGACTATTAAGTTACTAGTTTTTGAGAACTCTTCTGTTTTTTGTCTCTAGATACTTGAGAGCTTGGCTGCTTTGCTTTTTAGATAAAAGCAGTTCCCTGGAGCGAGTCCTTCTGAAACTCCACAAATATTTAAAGCCATCCTACATTTTCACTTTAATTAATAATATTTTGCATTTGCTCATGCTTGCTGTGGATCACGAGGCGTTATTCAGACATTAATGCATAATGCTTGTCAGAGCTGTGAAGGTCCCGAGCAGTTTCCAGCCTGACGCAGGGAGAGGGGGCACAGAGGAGGGAGGGACCTGCCCAGTGTCACGCTGCGGGTCACCAGCAGACCCCACACACCAGTCAGGGATTTGACTCTGAAGGTGAAGCTCGCTCTGGTTCCCTGTTACCAGAATATTCTGGATTTTGATGATTCACCAGATTCTGTGATGAGTTGGTTTAGATAACAGCAAAAGCAGCTGATAGAAATGGGAGTTGGCAGGGGGGTCCTATCTATTTAGCACATGCTAAATTAGTTGTTTAAATGCTCTTCCGAGTTTACGCTTTGTATACTAACAGCGCTGGGCAGTTAACGCACTGGTGGTGCTTAAAACATCAGTGACTACGTCATGGAGTACAGGGGAGGATTATTTCTGATGGAAATGGAAGGCCGCTGGGTTGGATTCATTGGAAAGTTTTAAAAGACATGAAAATACTAGCTCTGAACTCTTGCCCTCTGGGGCTGGGGTTTTGTCTCCATCCCTAGTTCAGAAGCCCGAGGGCCTCCGAGTGCCGGCTAGAGCTCTGTTCAAAGAGCAGTTTCCATTCTGAAGTCTGGGAAAAATTACTCCTCCCCGTTGACCTCCTCTGGGCTTCACAAGGACCATTTCTAATTATTTCTTTAATGTTGTTTGTATGTGTTTGTGCAACTGAATACTGAAAGGTCCCCGAGGTTACTCTGTGTAAAGGCTTCTACAGTTAAAAAAAGAATAAGCCCTAGGGGACAGACTTGGCAAGCCCACAGATCACTGACTTTAACATCAGTTTGTAGAAGAGGCTTAAAAAACACTGCAGTGGGGCAGCACTGTTTCTTGTGGGATTGCAGCTAGTCGTGATTCAAGAAAGCAAGGTCAGACCCACTTGCTGTGCTTGGTCTGGGAAGAGGCAACCCTTCAATATTGGCATCAGGTACTGCGAAGATGCTTTCCTAAAACCTACATCTGCATCCAAAATTAAATTAGCTGCAGAGCTTTGGCGCTAGGGCAAAGCTGTTGCAAATCTGCACCAGAAAGCTGGATCAGAAATCACCTTTTCTGTGTATCCCCACTAATTCCCACAGATCCTTTCAAATGAAGACTCCTCCAGCCCTTTCAGGACGTAGTTGCAAGAGTCTGTTTGAAGGCTCAGCTTCGAGCCTAATCCTTGTTAATTGGATTATGATAGGCACTACTGTGAACAGTCTGTGTTTAAAGTATTTCTTTCACATGGCTGTACTCTGAGGTGATATTTGAAGGGTGGGATCGTGAGGATACTCGGGGATGGCAAGTTTCTTTCACAGCATCTCCGTGGCCATCTTTTGGAAGATGAAAGATAACTGTACTAACACGCGGCACAGAGCGGCAGGGGTCTGGCCGGAGGCTTTTCCACTTGTCTCGGACTAGCCAGGGTCCACAGCATTGACCTCTCCAGAGCCTGGGGTCCTGCCTCCCTCATCTCCTCTCTAGGCATTAGGGCTAGAATTATAATACTAATAAGCATTAAAATAATAATAATTAAAATAATAAACATGAAAATGCTTTCAGGGTTTGAGCAGAAGCTGGGAGTGACTGGGGCTCTTTTGTAATCTCCCCCTTGCACCAAGATGCCTCATAGGCAACTGAAGTGTTTTTTGTAAATCTCTTCTGTAAATCATGGACCCTTTGAGTTCCTGAGAGAATGGGAATCATTTGTATCATTAAAAATGATAGTTTGGGGAGTTTTAGATGTGCCTGGGCTCACAGTGAAAGGCTGGCTCATCGACGTAGCTGGTTTAATGAGATGAAGATGTTCTGCTGCAGTTCTGTGGCAGAGCCAAAACTCGGGCAAGACAGTGCTGTGCCCCAGTGCACCCATGACGGAGAGATCATGAACGTACCTGGTCTGTTCAGCCTTCTTGTTTGGGATCATATTCATGATGTCTATTATACCTGCATAAATTAAAGGACCTCACATATTCAGGACCCTCTCGACCTGTGCATCCTGGAGATGTGGAGCCCACAAAGATGCGAAAGCATGCTTCTGCATTTCCCCAGACAGGGTACCACCCGCTTCTCTTGTGGCTGTTTTTCCTCCTGTTATGTCCCAGTGCCGGATTATTAACCGTGGGTGTGTAAGCGTGATGACGAGCAGCCGCTGAGACGTTCCCAGCTGGAATTCTCATGCTCAGCAATCACTTTTAGCATATGGGCAAACTCTGCCTGCAAGCGTTCAGGCCCCCTTGTGCCTACTTGCCAGTGGCTGAGCTGCACAGGTGTCGGGCTGTGCTGTCTTCAGATGTTTGGTCAGACAAACGATTCAGGCACTCTGTTCTGCAGGAGACTGCCGCTCCTCGTGTGTCATCATCAGGCAATTACTTTGGTAGAGGAATTGCAGGAGCCGGGCCTATTGGAAGAGGTTAGGCGCTGATGATTCATGGATCTGCGTGCTTTCACTGCCAGGGAAAGAGGAGTAGCCTTCAAAGTGCATAGCTGTAGAGGGATCTCTTCTGAGATACCAGATTCGAGGGTTTGTACGTGATGGGGTCAAACATCAGTGTGAAGTAACGCGAGGTGCCAGTCTCCCCCTAACATCCTCTCTTCCTTCACAGGTCGGACAGCTCGTTTAATTTTATGGCCTTTTTCTTCATCTTTGGCGCACAGTTTATTCTCACGATCCTGCAGGCGATTGGTTTCTCCGGATGGGGAGCTTGGTAAGCAGGATGCTCCTACAGTCTTACAGCTGAGCACTCGGCTCCCATGCCTGAGAGTTTCAGGCTATGGGCTGTTTCCATGAACTTTTGAGAAACTGGTGGGAGTCTGTACAGGGTGGAGCAGAAGAAGCTTTTTGTTTTCCTCTGTGGCATAATTATATCTGCTCTTGGAGTACACAGTTCTGTTTTCACTGCTGTATTGGCAGAAGTCGGATATCCTCACCCGCTTGTTCTTTTTAGCACCTTCCCACAATGTCCATTTCTTTTTACCGTTTAACCAGCCAGTTTCAAGATTCATCTGATCCTCTCTTAGCATTGCCCTCAAAGTATTCGCAGCACATGGTGAGCAGTGCACGATGACTCACTGTTGGCCTATAGAGCGAGTATTGTGAGAGTTGTCCTAAAATAAATGGGAGCGTTTTAGTGTCGGTCCCTGGTTATGTTATAATTGTTTGGCGTTTTAACTTTCTGTCTCTAGAGACTTGAGAGCAATTTCCTGCTGAAACTACCAATGATAGAAAGTCCTAGCGCTCCGAACAGCATTTTGTTTTCTTAACTGCTGATGCTCCCCAGTTGCCCTACCTGGTTATTGCCATCAAAGGAACAGAGATGCAGCGTAAATCATAGGACCCTCATGTTCCCTGTTCCCAGGTCTGGTCTCTAGACGCACAACCTCTGCGCAACCAAAAGCACCTTGGGAATAAATCTTCTCTTCCCAAAGTCTGTGCAGCTGGCTGTCCCCTGAAGGTCTGAGACTGGATTAGCGAGGGATGCTGGCAAGTGAGATTTGAGATCTTGGGGAAATACCTGCCTGAGCTGCATTTAGTTGTGTCCATTTTCTCCATTGTTCTTTCCATTTTCAAGAGCTTTAAAGCTGCCTTGTAATTTCTGGGTATGAGTAAGCAGTTTTTCTGATAATAAGGACGCTTAAAAAAGAGAGCTGTAATGATATTCTTTCTTTCTTTCTGTTTCTTCCAGCGGATGGTTGGCGGCCATTACTTTCTTTAGCACCAATGTCGCAGCTGCTGTGTTTATGCTGTTTCCTGCCATTATGTTTACAATGTCAGCGGTCGCAATGCTGATCTGCATTTTAAGGGTAGGTGCTTCAGATGTCTCTCTGACTTGGAGTATCCGCACTTTGTATAGCAATAAATGTGAACAGGCAGCTCAGCAGCCACTGTAAGCCATCACGGCTTTTAGAGGTTTCATAGTGTAGTCAGTTGGTGTCTCTCAGAGTATCTAGAAGACAAATCCAGATAACACAAGACAGCTGGGGCTGGATGTTGTCACCGTTTGATGTGGCGATGTTCCTTTACGTCACTCGAAGCAAGCTTCATTGCTCGTTGGGATGGTCATTGATGGTACAGGTGAAGCACCTCGAGATGGCCTGCAGTGGGGACTGGGTGGCAGGATGGGAAGCGGTCCTCGGTTCTCTGCAGAAAGAAGGATTTGGAGGTAGGACTGTCTGGAAAGCTTCAGCAGACTGATGGTAGAGGAGGAGAGAAGACAGAAGCCCCGCTGAAGCAGCAGTGTCAGTTTTACAGAGGTTTCGGCCCGCTGGCCTGGGTTGGCTGCCTTGCTGTGGGATCCCCAGCCTGAATCCCAGACGTGTGGCTGAAATGGGTTCAAGTCTTGGGTTGATATTATCTGTTTGCACCTCTGATCACTGTATTATTACATTTTTAGTGCTTTTGTTCCTTGGAAATACAGCTCTTTACAGAGAGAGAAACAAATACACGAACCAGTACCAAAGTGACTATAGCTCTTCTGAGGAAGAGGTGTGGGTACCTGTTGCTGACTTTCCTCTTGTTCTCTCTTTCATCCATTAGGTACATAAAATCTACCGAGGGGCTGGTGGAAGCTTTCAGAAAGCTCAGGACGAGTGGAACAGCGGCACATGGAGGAACCCCCCCAGCAGGGAGGCCCAGTACAGCAATTTTTCTGGGAACAGCCTGCCAGAGTATCCCACAGTGCCCAACTATCCCCCGGGAAACCAATGGCCTTAAGCAGCAACAGCTGCAAACTGCCTGGATTCTCTTCTTTTTGGTCTTTTTATTATTGTTATTTGAAAAGATCATTTGCATTCCTCCCCAAGCACCCCAGTCATCTTGGGGACTCTTTTGGTTTTTGTCTCCTCATCACTGCAGAAGATAATGTGCTGTCAGCCCTTGCCACCTCCGGAGCACTGCACGGCCTTATCGGAAGGTTTTTTTGTTTGCCTTGAGTTACCAGTATTTGTCTCGTTGCAGACTGAAGAACCAACCGTTCACTGCCCTTGCTTGAGGGAATCTTCTCATGACCGTATGTGAAAAAGGCTTCCCCACGACGGCGAACACTACCACGGCTGCTCCTTCTCCTGCCTCCCTGCTTAGTTTTCATCACATGCACAGCACACCACCAAGTCGTCTGTAACTGTAACAAACGCAGTCAGAGCAGTAGTAGCAACCGGTGTTTACTCTCCCGGATAAATAATCTGGAATTTTTCACTCTAAGGGAAATGCAACACCTAAATTATTTGGTACTAGTGATATCGAAGGTATTTGTAAAATCTACAACCTCATTTGCTTGCGCTCTCTGGTGAAGAATCCTTTAGATAACGGCGCTTGCTGTGGGTGAGTGTTGTTCAGATGTGAAGTCCGCAAGAGTCCTCATTTGTCTGGCTAGGACTATTGTTATGCTGGAAGTCTTGCTTTCCCTGCTGCCAAACGTTTTTGCCAGATCTGTCGGCTTCAAAGGTGCAGATTCATCTCATTTGGTTACCGATTGCTCGCTAAAAGCCTGATTCAAAGCCCACTGGAAACTACTGAAAAGCTTGCTGACACTGGGCTTTGGGCCTGGCTCCCTGGGTGATGCTCACCCCGTTACAGGTAGGCAGCACGAGATCTCTGAGCCAACTTCCACTTATACGGCTGACCCAAGAAATGCCCCACGGGACACACCTTGCCCTGTTGGGACACCCTTTTTTCTGGGCTCCCAGCCGGTAGCCACGTGCAAGATAACTATTGATCTCGGTGCTGGGGCCCCAGTGTGGTTTGGGAGTGATCCTGTTACAATGAATAGTTTTAATTCTGCCTTCTACCGATGTAGTTGAAATCCAAACGTTCTGCAGTGGGGTCTGGTAGACCAAGGAAAGCTTGTTAGTCCTCGTAACTGACGTTAGCTGTGCAGACCTGGACTGCGTTTGTGTAGCCAGCAGCACTTTCCTTCCATGTACGAGCAGAGAGATTTTTGCCTTTTTCCAAGAATCAGCTAAAGGGAGGATAAAGCTGTTGGGAGGGATTGTTTTCCCTGAGAGCTAGCATCCGTCTCGTGGTTCATCTCCATTCTGTGCATGCACGTCAGGACTTCTGTAGCCTGAGCCATCCAATTCCCCCGTGTCCTACAGCGATCCAAGCAGCAAAGGCTGCAGTTTTTTCTTCTCCCTCAACAGCCTGCTGTGAATTTTTTTTTTTTTCAAACCTGTCAAAACTGGGAGGTCAGTTCCCAATATTTTTATAGGGAGTGAGTGTTCAAAGTCTTCGGCTCTGAAAGTTTCGGCCAATGATCCTGTGAAGGACGGAGAGCTCCGCTGCGGAGACTTGGGAGGTGTTGGGCACCCCGTGGGTCAGACCCAGAGCCTGCCCGGCTTGGCAGGCTGGCGGATGGGATGCCAGAGGTGTTACGGTGTAAGTGGAGTCACTCCAAATTCACACTGAGTAACTGGAAAACAAAATTGGCTCCTGGAACGGGACAGGGAGGTTGTCCTAGCTAGGTGGAATTGATTTGCAAGTGATCTTTTGAAAACTCTCTCTACATGTGCCTTATCTAATAAAATATTAGTTCACGAAGGAGAACTCTTCCTTCCGCATTGCCCCTGCAGAACTTTCCATTTGCTCTATTAACTTTTCCTGTGTCATACTGTAAATACTAAGTGAAGTACAGCTTGGAGTCTGCATGACACCTTTGTTACTAGGGCCAAAGCGAAAGCAAACATGAATCAGAGGGCAGAGCCTCCCTGAATTTCCGTTTACAAGCAACACTGACGCCCTGCTGCAGAACCAGCCTTTTCCTGGGTTTGGGATATTTAACGTGCTCCGAACACGAGGGTTTTTTTTTTTCTTGCGAGTGTGCAATGTGCTTGTAAGTACGAACGCTTGAAGCCTTCTTAACAGAACACGACCCGATCGCGTTGTCAAGCTTTTAGGTGCCTTTGTCTTGTGTCAAGTGTAATTTTAAGTGTTCTTTGTCGCTTGCCATCGGAGAGTGATAGAAGAACTGCCTGTCGATTAACTCCCTGGAAATACGATTGCACTACGGGGGAGTGAGGGGAGGTTAATGGGGCTGAATGCGAGGTTTGTCATACTTGGAAGCCAGAACATGGTGCACCTGTGTACCACGCTCCCCCCGGCCCTGCCCCTCGCCATCCTCGGCCTCTTGCCAAAATTTTTCAGAAGCGATTGGTGTCTGTCCTTTTTTAGGGTGTCAGGTTGGAGATTTCAAAGGAACCAGGAGGAGAAGCATCGCCGGGGACTCCGCATCCTGCTTCTCTTTCTTTTTCCCACCCCCCTCCCCCTTGGATAATCTGGGGGGCTGTTTTGAAGCACCCACGTTCGCTCACGTTGCAAATGCTTGATGCAAGGGGAAGGGGTACTTAGGAGCCTGCCCACCAAAACGGTCGGAGCCAGACACCAAAATCGCGACCCGTTAGCATACGCTGCTTGAGATCCCTACAGAGCTTAAACGAACCTCTCTGGATGGGATCTGCCATCTCTCATCCCCCCTCCATCCTCTTCGATGCCAGAAACCGTAATTCCAGAAAGTTGACTCAACACGCTGCCTGAACTACCGTGGCTTATTTTTTTGGGACGACTCTGTATGTTTTAAAATGTTTACATTAGATTTCTAAGACTTCTTAACACCATTAACCTGGGCCTGGCTCCTGGTTTCCTTCGGCATCACGTGGCGTGTGTGCGCGCGATGTTTCCCGTCGCTTGTGGAGCTCTGGTTTTTGTTTGCGTTTTTCTCCTGATCACAAGACAATAAATGCTCATCCTGTGCTTGATGAGAAGAACTGGCCGCATTAGAGAAGTGTGTCTGTTCCTAGGTAACCGGAGTTATCTGGCAGAGGGAAATGGCGAAATCTCTGTTTTCCTCCAAAGTCTCCCACCACATGTTGTTTTTTTTCCTTAAAAGAGCAGCACGTTTATGGACGAAGCTCATCCTCTGCTGGGTGGGTGTGAGAGTGGCACGCTATGGTTTGTGCTCTTACAGGTGCCTGATAAGGTGCTGCCATTATTCTCCTTTCCTAACGAAGGGAACGGAGAGCAGAGGTGGGGGCGGGGGTGAGAAAGTCGCATCTCCTGAGCGCTGGGGTCGAGGTCTGTTTTCCTGGGCTCTCCTTAGCTGTCCAGAGCCTCGCACCGGCCCCTTGCAGCGCTGGCTTCTGCCTTCTCTGGTTTATTGGCCGGAGGGAGATCATTATCCCTGGAGTAAACGGGCCGTTCGACAGCGAAGGTGAGTTGAATTGCTCTATTTAGCACGTAGCTGAATTTATTGCCCCAAATTACCGTATTGTGGCTACATACCCCAGTTCCGCTCCATAGCAGATATTTAATCCTAAAAGAGCCGTTTTCATCACAGCTGCTTGGTACGACATCTGCTAATCTCAATGCCTTCCTTATCTCCAAAAGCCTCGTGCCAGGTACCCCCTGCCCAGCCACCGGCATCTCGCTTTCACCGGCAGTGGTTTCCTACAGCTGCTCGCTGCTGTGCCGGTGATGGGTTGAGCACGAGGATGAAACGGCTTTTGCTCAAATTCTTGCTCCAGGCCCTCAAAATCTGAGCACAAGGCACAGCTCTAAGCTCCTGCTCCAGCTGCTGCTAGGGCAGGTCCTTGGCACTTGGGAGAGACGAGTTGTTCGCCTCCGCCGCGCTCCCTGCGCAAGAGCCGGGGCTCGGCAGGAGGACGGGGCAAGGTTCGTCAGGAACGAGCCCGAAGCGCGGGGACGGGGGGGTGGTTGTGCAGCCGAGCTCAGCCCCCCGCCCCGAGGAGCTCCCCAAAAGTCTTGGGGGTCCCTGGTGTCAGGGTGGGGGCTCTTCACCCGGGGGCGCATCGGATGGGACACTGGGAGGGGCCTGGCTTTTTCCTGTGTCTGGTTCTCGATGTGTTTCTGTCGCTCTTCGGTTTCCCAGGCCCTCAACGCAAGTGTTTCACGGCAGGAAGGTTTCGTGCGCCCGCCCCCGAGCAGCTCGTTCTCCCGTGCGTGATCAAGAGGGGTTCGTTTTGTGTTGTCTGCTTGCGAATTAGCCCTAATTAACTCGTGCCCACGGGAGGAGGGCAGGGTTCAGAGCTGGACGCTTTCCCGACAGAAATTCCCCGGCTTTTCTCGCTAACTCGCCGGTGCTGAGCCGGTTCCGTAGCATGAGCTGTACAGGTATCTGCAGTACAGGTCTCTGCAGACCACGCCTGGCACACCGCGCCTTCGCTGCCGGAGGTTTGCCTTGAACTAAAATCAAAACGATTTGCTTTCCCCCTCTCCCGCTCCAGAGGATGGGTAAATTCTCAAGCCAAATGTCTGAACAACTCACGTGTCCTCAAAGTGCTTGAAATCGCCTCTTTCTGCGGCCGGGGG